TTTGCTAATGTTAGGTGTTTTTTGCATCTAAGTTCATCAGGATATTCGTCTATCATTTCCTTGATGTATTTTATCTGTTTTGGTGTGTGATGTGATTTGTTTTATAAAACAAATTCAGAAGTGTTCCATCCCTTTCTATTTCATGGAATAATTTGAGAAGTATTGGCATTAGTTCTTTAAAGGTTTAGCTGAGATTCAGCCGAGAATCCATCTGAAACCAGCTGTTTTAGCTTCACGTGAGTGAGAACTTGTGACGTTTGTCCTGAAATTGCCTGGCTATTTCACTTAACATCTTGTCCTCCAGTTCCATCTATGTTGCCATAATAGACAGAATTTCCTTCCCTTTTTTTTTTGCCAAATGATATTCCTAACCACATTCTCTTCACGGCTTTGTTTGTGGTCAGACTTGCAGGTGATTCTGTGTCGTGTGAGCATGGGAATGTRGGGGTGTCTTGTGTGACTCCACTGGTGGGGACAGACCTGGATGGGGATCGCTGGTCATGTAGTCGTTCTGTGTTAAGTGTCAGGAGCTGCCAGGTAGGAGCTGAGYGCCCTGTAGCTTTGAAAAATGGGAATGTGAAGATGTGGMGAGCCAGCCAGCCGTGGGCTGWGTGTGTGAGCTGTGAGTAATTTGAGCGCACAGAGTGGACTGGCCTGAGGACGCAGCTCTGTCTGGGCTGTGCAYGTAGGTATCCCTTTCGCTGGCTTTGCCTTTGATCATCACACAGCACATGAGATATGCGTGGCCTTCCTAGATGTCAGTCAACCTGCTGACCTGTGAGACATCAGGAAGATAAACAACCCCGCGAAACCTGACCCCTTGCCTCATTTGAATGGCCTCCCCATTAAATCCGGGTTTGAGGCATGCTCTTCCACTTGCCTACCTTGCCTGCTTTGTGGGAGCTGGGTCAGAGGTGCCATCACAGAACCCAAAGGAAAAGGTRTTTCTCTGTCTCTGTGGGATTATTTCGTGCAGCCCAGTTTACCTGGAGTGACCCTGACTGGGTTCATTGCAACAGTTTTGTCTGGAGGAACCTGCATGCGGTGTTCACAGCCGCTGTACTAACTGGCTTAGAAGACCCCTTCTTTGCAGCTGAACGCTAGGTGCTTTCCACTTTAAGTAGAGAATATTTTAAAGGGACACCTTTGGGGAAGTTTCCGTCCTTGGTTTCTCTGTTTTGTAAGMAGTTAGGTGAACAAAACCTCATCCTGGTCCTGGGTGGCTGATTGGGAAGCTTCACAACACCTTATTTTAGCTAGGCATCCTGCTCAGCTCAGTGACCACTGCTCTCCTCTTGTGCTGGCCTTTTAAAAGGTTACCTGTGAGGGAAGCCTTTAAAGCAGGTACTTTTTCACAGACATCTCAAATCTCTCCTCTGGTGCTCTGTTGCCAAGCCCCTCCCTTGGCCATTCGTGAAGCCTCACCTCTCTGAGCTCTTCTGAGTGGGTGCATYTTGCCTGGTTTTACTCGACACTTTGGCCTGGTGGTCACTCTTGTCAAGTCATGGTAATCTTCATTTTTCATACATTGGATTGTTCTAAAACCTTTTTTAGTATTTTGTGGATTTGGATCCTATCATCGGGATTTGTTTATGAGCTGCCCTGCCAGAAGTTTTAGGAGGCTRTGGTTTCATTTCTTGGAGCCAGTTGGTGAGGAGGAGCCCCTAGCTCTGCTGGAGCCACGCCTTCCTCRTCGCCCTTTTCCAGCTCCCAGGATGCATCGGCACTTACTTTGCCATTCGTGGGCTGCTCTCCTGCCTCTTGGTGGGAGGTTGGGATTTGAGAGAGATACTGGGTCAGGCCTCACTCTTTAACACTATATCCAAGACTCCTGAGACTCTAAGAAAATGATTAGGGTGCTATCTTCTATCTTCCCAGGCCCGGCAGCTCATCTTGCAGTATGGCCTAACCCTCAGTGATCTGGACCGGCACCCAGAGGTAAGAGAGTGGGTCTCCTTTGTGATTGCTTATTCATGGGCTCCAGGTGACTTGGGTTAGTTAGTCATGCTGACTTTTCTCCTGGGATTTGAATGTTAATCCTGGGTAGGGTGATAAGTGGAGAGGTGGTTAGTGTCCAGTACTGGTAGGTATAGTGCAGGCTACTTCCCCTGCAGTTACCCTGAGGGCTCCCCATGAGTGCAGTGGAGGGGAGTGGGACGAGCCCAGGGCTTCATCAGGGCTTTCTGAGAGTCCTTTCTCGTACAGAGGCTCTTCCAAGAGTGCACCTTACCCCTTAAGTGAGGGATGTCCTATCTGTGGCAGCCACAGACATTTGAAAACTCACCAAGTGAAGTGTTGTGGTGAAGACTGACCAACACAGCGGCAGAGAGGAGACTGAAGTTGGGAGTAGGCAGCTCACKTGTCTTCCTGGCTGGCACTGTCTGAACATGTACCAGCTGTGTGCCAGGTGCTGTTTCTGTGTTAGAACTCTAGAGTACACTTTATGGATGTGAAAAAGTAGAGAGGAAAGCTCAAGTATGCTTAAGGTATACAGAAGGTGGCAAAGCCAGAGCTCAGGCACATTAGGCTCTAAAACTGTTAGAATTAGAAGAGCTTCTTTTGGGGTGGGGGGGGAGTGTGGGTGGTTGGTGCCAGGGATTGAACTCAGGGGTGCTTAATGACTGAGCCACATCCCCAGCCCTTTTTATTTATTATTTTGAGACTGGATCTTACTAAGTTTCTTAGGGCTTCACTAAGTTGCTGAGGCTGACTTTGAACTTGATGGTCCTCCTACCTCAACCTCCCAAGTCGCTGGGATTAYAGGTGTTTGCCACTGGRTCAACAGTGTTACAAGAGTTCTGGGGGGGAGAGTTTGAGCTGAGCTGGAAAGATTCTGTGGTAGGGACAGAGTAGGCCCTCCCTGAAGGGTAGGCAGGAACCATGGGCATGTAGGCACAGGTGGACAAAGCCCAGACTTTCTGGGGTGGTTTGGACAGAAAAAATGAAACACATGGGTACATCGCAGGGCAAGTGGATGGGGACTTAATGTGATCTGGCCGTCCATCTCACCATGGTACGCAAGGGCCTCGGGTTACTAATAATGTGGGAATGGCTCGTTGGGAGTTTCTGCAGGCAGAGTGGGGCCCAGGCAGAGCCAGCTGTTAAACAGCTGTGAGGGGAAGGCTTTGGGCCAAAGGTGGRTCCAAATCCAGGCAGAGAAGAGTTGCCACCGCGCAGCCTCAGCACTGGTGCATGGTGGGGCAGCAGCGTAAGTTGCAGCTGCAGACAGATGTGGAAGGATGGGAACATGGTGCCCTGCAGGACACTTGGTGTGTTAAGCCTGGCCTCAAAACCACAGCAAGCAACTGCAGCACAAATAAAATGTGTCCTTGTGTGCTGCTGTGTGGTTTTGGTGTTTGGTGTTTGAGTGAATCTGTTTGACTCAGACAGCCTGAGTTGGTCGGGGTTGGCTTGGCCTTGGCTTGGGGCCTAGTGGGAATGCCTCAGGTCGTTTCTTGAGCGTGGTGAATTTTGGCGACTTCCACAGCTCCCTTCATTTCATCTTGTCCRCTGGACTTTTTTGTTTTGCCCACATTGGTACCATTTTTTTTTTAAAGAGAGAAGAGAGAATTTTTTAATATTTATTTTTCAGTTTTCGGTGGATACAACATATTTTTTTTATTTTTATGTGGTGCTGAGGATCGAACCCAGCGCCCCGTGCATGCCAGGAGAGCATGTTACCGCTTGAGCCACATCCCCAGACTTGGTACCAACTTCTGACCCAGCTTTTCTCAACTCTGGTTTTCATAATTGACTCCCCCCATGGAATGTAGTACTACAGATATTCTGTGTATCTGTTCATGTGCTTGTGCGCTTTGGAAGGCCCAAAATTTTAATATCAGATTTCTTTGCCTGTGCCCCCTCATCCCAGCCATCWTTCCTTTGGTGGGAGTGACATTACCTTCACCAGAGTGCACATTATGCATAATTCCTTGTTGTCCATAGAGGCCCGTCCACCAGAAAAGCAAGTGTAATGTCATGGGTGAGAGATGATGGACCATGGTTTGTGTCCCAGGCCTGTGACCCCAGTGAAGTGGCTCATTGACCTTGGAGCCTCAGTTTCTTGGTAGACTACTTGGGAACGCTGGGCCTGGCTACTGGGCTGTTGTTACAGGGTCAGCCTTGGCRCAGCACCTCTGTGCCAGCCCCTGGGGCTCTTAGTGGTCGTTGTGTCTCCCTCTGCCCACCACAGATTGACCTTGCCATTGATGGAGCTGATGAAGTGGATGCTGATCTCAACCTCATCAAGGGTGGTGGGTGAGTGTTATGGGGACTTCCTTGCTAAAGACTACTTGCCAGTTGGTWCTCAGCAATGCCAGATGGAGTACAGAGATCAGTTGTTACTGTGATGTGTGCGAGCCTGTCTCTCTACCAAGACCTGGCCTGGATGCCATAGGACCTTCAAGCCAGCCTGGCGTTTCTGGTCATTAGCGTCCACTTGGTGGCTGGAACCTGAGCCTCTTCAGTGAGATGACCCCATCATCGTGGGTTCTCTGTGTATCTGTGTTCTCTGATTCAGACTTTGATAACTGTSAGGCCAAACTAGCATATTATTGATTTATACTGTTAGGTCTGCGGACATCAGTGTGTGGACTTTGCTTTAAAGYTGCCCTTACATGTATGAGAACAGCTAGGAATGCTGTTCCTTATTTGGAAAACATTTATAGGGTTTTTCTGAAGTGCTGATTTGAGGAGTGGGAATGTGAGTGGCACAGGTGACATCTGTTCTGCTTGTTCTTACTTAATAGTTACTCAAGCGATTGCAGGACTAGGCTGGTGAGYTGTAGAGATGGGCTGGGCCCAGATCTTCAGAGTCCGTCTCCCTGTCAGATGGTCCACAGGGCAGGTTGCTCAGAGCTCACCTTTCTTAGGCAAGGTGCAGACAACAACTCCCTAAAAGCAGTGCTTCCTCTCAGGTGCCTCTTGGTGGAATTCTGCCTGGCCCGAACCTGGAAGGGTATCCACTCTGGGTTTCTCCCAGACACAGGCTAACATTTTTGTGATCCCATTGCTAGCAGCAGCCTGATGGGATTGAGGACAGCTCTTTAAAGGTTAAAAGTGGGATTTCTTTTGATGTGCCAGGACTGGGGGATCCGGGGTTCCTATGCCTGACCTTAGYTCCCCAGGTTGAGCGCTGCCTTGCCCCGCTCACTTGCTCCCCTCCTCCCTTCCCACCTGCAGGGGCTGCCTGACGCAGGAGAAGATTGTGGCTGGCTATGCCAGTCGCTTCATCGTGGTTGCTGACTTCAGGTACAGCATGCAGAATTCTGAGCTACGCCAGGACTTGAGGCACCATCCCAGAGGGYGTGTGTCCTGCCTGTGTGCAGAGGTGGATGTAGCTGACCTGCCACACGTTCTTAACTGAGCTAGGATCTCCAGTGCCATTTCCAGTGCTTGGGTGGGCAAAGGGAGCATGTGTTCCCAGTTGCTGGCACAGCTCGTCCTCACAGGGAGCTTCAGGGAYGAGGCGAGCCCTGCCCATTGCCTTGAGTCAGCATTCCCTCTGGGGTCAGGGCTGACATATGTGACTCATGCTGTGCCTTCTTTGGCCAGGCTCTCAGACGCTCCATCTGGGAGTCTGGGAGGAGACACTTGTGTAGCATGTTAATAAGAACTATGCTTTTACTTACGAGGTACTGTAGAGGTACTGTAGTCGTAGGAGGACGTCAGTGATGGACACCTGCTCTTGTAATGAACACCTAAGAGTAGATACTTGTAGTCAACAAGCCAGTTATATCACATTAACCTTCCTTCTGTCACACTGAATTCAGACATCTCTTATTAAACAGTAGGACTGCTAGTGCCTTTGAAGCCTTGTGTGTACCGTACTGTCCCTGGTTACTTTTTTGTCCTTCCATCATGGATTCCTGAATTTTGGGTTTGTACTGTTGAGCTTACTTATTTTTATTGTGCTTTTTTTGGCTCTTCCTTCCCAGGAAAGATTCAAAGAACCTTGGGGAACAGTGGCACAAGGGAATTCCTATTGAAGTCATCCCCATGGCCTATGTTCCTGTCAGCCGAGCTGTGACCCGGAAGTTTGGCGGTGCCATTGAACTTCGGATGGCTGTCAACAAGGCGGTAGGTGGCCAGGGAGGCTCCTGGAGGACTCCAGCCTCTGGGCACTATTCTTTTCCCTCCACTTGGGCCTGGAGCTTCATTTTTTATTTTTTGGTATCGGGATTGAACTCAGGGGCACTCTACCACTGAGCCACATTCCAGCCCTATTTTGTATTTTATTTAGAGACAGGGGCTCACTGAGTTGCTTACACCTTGCTTTTGGTGAGGCTGGATTTGAACTTGCAATCTTCTTGTCTCAGCCTCCTGAGCCACTGGGATGATAGGCATGCAACACTGTGCCTGGCTTCGTGCTTTATTTATTTATCTATTTAAAAACCTTTGTTTATTTCTATGTTGGTGCTGAGAGTTGAACCCAGTGCCTCATACATGCTGGGCAGGTGCTCTGCCCCTGAGCCCCAGCCCAGCCCCTTGGAGCTTTATCTTTAATAATCAGCCGGTTTTCAGGATTTGGCCTTGTTAGTTTCTACATAGTCTCATGTAGGTGAACACGGAACTTACTGCTGTGTATGTCCCTGTACAGAGGGCAGTGGTTCTCTCGGTGCCCCTGGGTCTGACATCCCTCAGTGCTCTGATCTGGGTACCTGAGGCCTGGATCACCCTGGTGAACAGATGCCACACATGGCCTTCGGGAAGCCCTCCTCCCCAGGGTGCAGCCTGTTTTCCAGGCTCCATGGTATACATTTCCTCTCTTCTCTTGTCTGCATTACAAGTGGGACAAAAGGTGGACTTTCTTGGGTGACGGCAACACCCCACCCCTCAGGAGTGCACTCTAGGCACTTCAGTCCAGAGGTTTTTCTCCATCTTCTGAAATAGATTGCCAAGAACTTTTTTTTTTTTTTTTTTTTTTAAAGAATTAGCAATAGGTATGTGTACAACCATGTAGGAAGTCTGGAAGGTAGAGAAACGATCTGCAACCCTACCCTGATGCATTTTTATTTTGATATTTTTGGCTTTGTAAAAACCATTCTTATCACCATGGTTGTCCAGGCTCTTTGGCCATGGGCACTCAGAAGCTGAGACGCTGGGAAGAGCGCATAGGTGCTCTCGAAGCCCAGCCTCCTTCGTTGCTCCCAGCTGAGCTCCGGCCCTCCTACAGTCTWTAGGGGAGTCAATCCTGGACTCCTTCCTATGACCTGCTATCAACATCTGTGTCCTAGACATACTCTTGCTGTCCTAGTGTTGAGGCTATGAAGGAATTCTGGGCTAATTAACTAAAAGTACTCCCTGCTATCTCACCTCCGACCTTGTCTCTGCTCCTGGTCTTTCCCTGGGGCTTCTTGATGGGGTGGGGTCCGGTCGTGAGGCTGAAGTAGCGTCTTATTTCATTACTGCTGGTGCTTAGGGCKCAGCTGGCCCTGCTCTCTGGGTTTTCACTGTCAGGGCAGCTGGGGCTTGCTGAGCTGGTGTGTGGTAGGTGCCCACGCATTGCACGCACACGGAAGCTGCCTTCTGCACACTCCAGACACTCGAGCCTTGGCTGCTCCCTGGGTTCTGCGCCCTCCTGGCATTATGACAGCCTGGTGTTACCTGCAGAGCTCCTGCTCACTACTGTGCCTTAGCACTGCCTCCGAGGGCATGGAGCGGGCGATGGCGCCCCCTGGCAGACGTCTGTGGCCGTCACCTTTACTTGCTCTCCTTCTTTCCTACTTGTGTCCTCATTCTTGGTCTGTGTGGCACTTATCTTTTAGGGTCCTGTGGTGACGGATAATGGTAATTTTATCCTGGACTGGAAGTTTGACCAGGTGCACAAATGGAGTGAAGTGAACACAGCTATCAAAATGATCCCAGGTACCCTTCGAGGCATTCACTGAACATAAGCCCTTCTGTCCTACCTCCGCCCTCCGGTCTCTTGTGCCCTCCCTACCTGTCCTTCCATGGCCACCTGTATCCTCCCTGTCTCCTCCATGCCTCCTGTGCCCTTCCCACCTGTCCCCACCCTAGCCACCTGTGCCCTTCCTCCCTCTCCCCTTCCTACCTGTCCCCTCCCTGGCCACGTTCCCTTCCAACCTGTCTCCTCTGTGGTTACCTATGCTCTTCCAACCCATTCCCATCATGTAATCTGTGCCCTGTACCTTAGCCCTTCCTACCTGCCCCCTCCATGGTTACCTTAGCCCTTCCTACCTGCCCTCTTCATGGCCACCTGTCCCCTTCTGATCTGTCCCCTCCATGGCCTCCTGTGCCGCCCTACCTGTCCTCTACTCCTGGCCACCTGAGGCATGCTGGTGTGAGCTTTGCGAGACATCTAGGGAGGAAAACCTTAGGGTACGGCCTGTGGGGATTTTAGTGTGAGCTCTTCTGCCTCCCGCAGGAGTAGTGGTTGCTTACCCAGCAGCTYCTGTGTGCATTCCACTGTCTGCTGGAGCTGGGGAAGGCTTGCAGCTGATGAGGTCCGGGCTGCTTGGAAACAAGACCTCATCTCTGGAGCCTTTCCCTCCAGGATCATGCCTGCATCCTCCTCAGCTTTTGTGGTCTCTAAGCGGTTGGGGTAATGACTCAGTTTACCCATATTCATCTRCCTCATCCCACAGGCAGCATGCTGTGGGATGTGGAGTCCTCCAGGGGAACTGTGGTAAACCTGGCAGAGCTGTGTGGAAGCATGCTGGGATGGCATGTCCTGGTTCAGCTAGAGGAAGAGCAGGTCCAGTGGGTGCAAAGGGTGCTGCTGCTTCAGGCTGTGCCTGAGCCTTATCATCCAGGTGTAATCTAAATACTGTGCCAAGTGTTGAAAAGTCTCATCAGTCCCCATTGGATGAGATAGTTACAGAGAGGATGTGGGACAGAAGAGATAAGCAGTTCACCAGAAGCTACAGCATCAAGCTAGGAACCCTGGGTCATCTGCTCTAGACCCTGAACTTTGATCCTCACTTATTTAGGGCCAGGCTGAGAGGCTGTGTGACAGGAACATGTAGCTTGTACCAGGAATTGATGGTGTAGGAGTCAAGTGGGGCCCTAGGTGAAGGCCAGTGAGCCATGTAGAGAWGAGTTATCAGACTAGAGTTCTTGTCCAGGCTTGGTGAAGTACTGAGGTTGTGTGAGAGATTAAGAGGAGGCAGATTGGAGAAAAGGCAGTCTCTTATGATGTTGAGAGACCAAGAGTAACTGGGATATGCCATGTCGTGGCATTCAAGGCAGGAAGGGTCAGTTTAGCAGAGAGTGGGTTCTAGAGCAGAGTGTCTGGGCGAGGGTCTGCACCAGCCATGCTCCAGCAGTGTGAACCTGGCACTGCTTACTACACCTGTGCCTCAGTTCCTTCCTCTGGTACCTAGCTTGTGGGGTTGTTAGGAGGGAGGTTTAAATGGATTGGAAGAGCACCCAAGGAAGTATTTGTTGGGAGAACAAGTTCCTAGGGAGAAAGTGTGCTAGCTCCACCATTAGTAATGCACTAGACCTGCCCCTTGGAAGCAGAAGTGGTGTGAACGTCCGCTGTGTAATGAAGAAGCTGATTCTTCCAATTACACGTGGTTGGTCAGCATCTTCTGTTGGCTGGGTTTTTTAAGTCAGAAAGTTGAGTTGAATTATACTCATCCTCCTGCTTTGTGTTCTCTCTTTAGCAAAAGAACTTAAGAGCCAAGAAGGCAGGAGGAAAGAATGATGTTAGGCCACTGGTGCTAACCAGGAGAACTCGTCCCTAAGGATGCAGACAAACCAGGGGACACAGCAGGAAAGAGCTCCTAGCGCCTGCTGTTCCTCTGCAGGTGGACTTCTTGCCGTGCCCACTAGGGTGCGCTCTTGTTTTGCTCCGGCCTTTACTTGGCTTAGTGAGACTTGCAGGTGTCCATTGTGAGGACATTTTCTCCGTCTTTGCCTTCCTAAATATGTAGAAGCTGCTTCCTGGAGAAGGTCAGAGCTTTGTTTTAACTTAGGAGGTGGCATAAAGAGACTAGCCATTGGAACAGTGTGTGTCCCTAGACCATCAGCACTTGGTTGCCTCTTTTCCTTTTCTTCCAGCTTAACTTGACATGGTTCTTTTGTCAGGCAGCTGTCACTTCCCACTCTGAGGAGATCTTACGGTGCTGGTAGTCGGTGTGGCTGCTTAGGTGGTCTGGAGGGTTTCTCTAGAGGAGGACCTGCATCTGCAGTATCTGAAGAACACAGAGCAGCAGCCCCTGGAAGCACCAGGAATGACCAGCCAGGCAGAGGAGCAGCGTGAGCAAAGGCCCAGGGCACATTTGGGCACAGAAAGAAGCCACAGTGGAGGGGAGAAGGGTCAGAGTTTTCTCACTGTCTCCCTGGAGAGGAGGGCAGTCTAATATCCTTCTCCACTCTGCTTGTGGTGTTTGCTTTCTGTGCCCTTCTGTCCCCGGGGCTGTTCTTGCCTTCTTGCCTGGGATATTGTGAGCACACACAGTCCTTAGTGTTTTTTTCTGTCCATTGTCCTGCAGGCGTGGTGGACACAGGGCTGTTCATTAACATGGCTGAGAGAGTCTACTTCGGGATGCAGGACGGCTCAGTGAGCGTGAGGGAGAAGCCTTTCTGCTGACACTGCAGGAGCAGTGTGCTCACCCGTGTCCAGCCCATGCCAGGGTGGACATGTCTCTCCTGGAGCCTTTGCCTTAATGTACCTGCCAGGGTGGACGGCTGGCCGTGCGGAGGTGGGGGCAGTTAAATCCAGTCTTCTTAAGTATTGTTATTATATGTCTTTTTAAAAAGAGAAATTTAAACATATATATTTTTACTATTAAAAATGTTCATTTTTAAAAATAAAGTAGAACTTAATTTCATGTTTTATATCACATATTTACGAAAAAAGAAAAAAAAAGAGAGACGTGGGGTTGTCTTTGAAACCTTTGACTTGAGCCTGCTGGTTAAGCTTCTGAGTATTGGGTTTGCTGAGCAATAAAATCCGAACTTTCCTTTCCGCTGTGAGATGAAGGGCCAGCCAGCAGCGACCTGATGCCTTATGGGAAACTCTGTTTACTCCCTGCTACTGTCTGGTTTGTAGGTAGTTTTCATGGTGATCACGCACAATACCCAGTGACATTGTAATCAGGGCTACCGCAGTGTATTAGTGGAGCAGTGTGACGTGTGGCCACCAGGAGTGAGAGCTGTGAAAGGAGGCTTGCCTGAGCCCCTGCTGTTGAAGCACTGGGCCAGAAACACGTGCCAGTGTTGCCCACGCACTGCTGTGAAATGTGAAGCACTTGGTTTTTTTTTAAATTTTCTTTTTGTTGATATTTTTAATGTCTCTTATTACTTGCATGGTTTTGTGTCAGAAGTTGTCACCTCTTCTGTTATTTGAAGGTTGAAATAAACCAGTGTGGTGCCATTTTGACTCTTGGTCTTGACTATTAAATTTGTAACAAATGGGAATTTTCTCACTCAATTTGTATCAGATAAGGGGTGGGATTCACTCAAGAAATCTTGAGCCAAAGACTTGGTAAATGCTTCCTCTTAATTCTGATAGAGCTTGACAACCAAGGAAATGTTTATCCCATGGTCCTTGTCCACTTAAAGCCCTTCTGTGTCATGCCAGGAGGGCGACACAGCTGAGCAGAGTTGTGCTCGTACCCAGGTGTTCTGCTGGTGAAACCTTCCTCAGTCCCAGAGGCGAAAAGCATCAGGACGGGGAGTCTGGATTTTCCCTTTATTTCCCCTGCTGCCTAATCAGCAGTGAAGAGKCCAACTCACAGGTGGGAAAAGGCTGCAGCCAGTTTGGTGACGATTCTCCATGGGCCTGGAGGGTATCTGTCCTGCTGTCTTCCTGCCCATCGACCTGCTTTCCCTGGTGCCGACTCTTTGTACAGTGCTTGAGCAGCCTGCTTCTCAGCTTACTTTCTGTTTTGAGGCTTGAGCTCTGTAACTGTCATTTTTGTGTGCATCTAGATTCCTCCGAAGTCAGGCTAAAGAATAAATGAGGGCCAGGACTGACCACGGCTTCTTCATTCTGAGAGTTTTTGAAACAGCTGTCCCACCCATTGTTAGAAGTTGGGTGGGAGCACATTATTCCTCATTAAGACTATTTTGGATTGGTGACACTTTTTGCACAAAATGAGCTCTAGAGCTTAGCTGAGAAAACTTGATAGAGCAATGTTTCCAAGTAATCCAAAGGTTTCATGGCATGGATTTAATTCGGGAATAAAAATAAATGGAGCTAAACTGGGTTTCCAAACTACCTGCACCCTCCACCCCACATGTGAACTTCCTGTGGGCTTCTCATGCTCAATCCCTGTGGACACACTGCAGGTCTCAATGTTTGTGAGATGTTTCTTTTGAAAACAAATCACCCACCACACCTTAGGCATATGCACAGCGGTCGGCTCTGGAGGTAAATTTTGATTGAAGTTTCTGCCATGAAATAATTCACTGTACTCAAAGTAAATTGGGTGAAAGGAACCATTTATCAGAACCTGCCTTTAATGTGAGGGCCCAGAGGACTAGTGGCAAGTCTGGAATTTCGGGAAGATTTGTAACCAAGAATCTGCCCAGCTTCTGGGAGATATGAAAGGAAGAAAATCACTTGGGTCTGAATTAAGTCTCTTTAATCTTGGTTTCCACTAGAGCCTTTTTTTTTTTTCCTTTTCTCTAAGAAAGCCAGTGGGCCTTTTCTTCCTGCTGCCTAACTGGCAGTGATTCCCAGGAGCAGTTGTCTGTCCTTTTGGTGGCCTCAACGGTGTTCCTGTTTGTCTGACATGATTATGGGGGTATCTTGGTTGGTTTCACCATATCCCACAGTGGCCTTGTCTGTGTTCTGTGGCATTGCTTATGTCCAGCAGGAGAACGCCATGGTTGGCTGTGGGTGCCAGGCCAAGTCCTGACTGGGGCCATACCAGTTCCCAGCTATTGGGGCTCTTGTCTTCCCAGGATCCAGAGGGAAGATCCTGAGCATTGTATAAGCATGACCTGCACCCCTTTTGATTAACGTGTGCACTTGGGTTGGGTGAGTTGGGTCCCTGGTCTCTGAGTCCTCCAGTGTGGCTCTTGCCCTCAGATTGCATTGGTACGGGGACACTTCCTTGCAACCTTAAATGCCTGAATGGTCGCTGCCTCTCGTTCCTCACAACTGATGTAGGGTTGAGTTGTGTCAGCCTTCGCTTCGTGCTCAGCTGTGATCAGATAGATGGTGTTTGACAGGGTCCAGTCCTGTGCTGTTTTAGTAGCTGGGTTGCACTGCAGAACACTTCCTCTAGCCCAGCACCACCCAGGTGTGTCCCAGGGCCTCTGCAGGTAAATACCCAGTGGTGCTGTGGTGCAGCGAGAGGAAGTGGAGCATGATGGTTAATGTGCACCATAGGTGGAAGCGTAAAGTGGAGTCAGAAGCCAGAGGCACTTCAGGGTTCAGTGGCCTTGTTAAGCAGGCCGATGAATGAAGTCAGTTCAGTGTTGAGCCCCCAGCTATGGGGGAGGCAGCCACTGTCTCTGGTCTGCATGGTGGCATCTCTTGCCAGGTTCAACACAGGGCAATGAGATCTGCGCGTGTCCCCTGATGACAGAAGGAGCTACATCTCCTGTTTTCTTTCTACCCCTCCTCTACCCTCACTTTTCTTCCGTGGAGCTGGGGATTGGAGCCAGGGACACTTTATCACTGAGGTGCATCCCCAGCTTTTTTTTTTTTTTTTTTTTTTTAAGAGAGGGTCTTGCTATGTTGCAAGATCCTGAACTTGTGATCCTCCTGCCTGAGTCGCCTCCTGAGTCACTGGGATTATAGGTATGCACCACTATATCTGGTTCAGAGAGGTCTACATCTTAACCGGATGTCCACATTCAAGGAACCCACACTAGAGTTCACATAGGACAGGAAATCCATTTACATTTTACTTTAGAAGCTGGTCTTACTGTAGGGTGAGACAGTCCTTGGTCACTGATGAGTCCTGAAGGTCCTGGAGCACTGACCCCTGAGCTTAGCTGGTGTGGCCCCTGTCCCATTGTGCCGCAGACTGCCTCCTGTTCTCTGTGAGTCCTTGAGGAGCACTCATGTAGCACTGTTCAATAGGAACGTGATTTTAAATTTTCTAGTCACCACACTGAAAAGAAACTGGTGAAATTAACCTCTGAAAGTTTTATTTAATCCAAAATATCTAAAATATGACTATTTTAACAATCAGTGTTTTATATTTTTTTGTATCAAGTGTAAGGCAGGTTAGATCAGGGCCCTTGCTCTGACTCTCACCCCATTTCCTTGTGCATCTTACACAATGCTTGCTGGCATTTAAAACAATGGGCTAGTTTCCTTAAATCACAAGATCCTGTTTCCTAAGAAGATTGCCTAACCATCCTGAGGAGCATGTGCAGAGGCTCCCAAGTTTTCCCTGTAGTTACCGCTAAGGGAAAACCCCCTACGTAAGACCTCATAGTATTGCCTGCATCTCATGCATCTGATGAAAACCTGGGAATGAACATTCGGTGCGTGCGCCCTGGACATCACGAGCAAGACGCAGAAACCTGTCAATCATCTCTCACTCAATCATCTTTCCTAACAGAAAGCCCCCAAAGGTGAATAGTGAACTTGGAAGCAAATGTCAGCCCAGGTCCCAAGTCCATGGCAGACATCTTTGTCCCCACTGCACCTTCAAGGCATATCTTCCTCCATTTCTCTTCGCTGCTTCTCTTTGTCTTGGTGAATTTTCACTAGGTGAGAATTCTCACTAGGTCTCACAACAGTCTATTTCACGTCACATCTCATTTTGGATCAGCCACATTCCAAGTGCTCGGTGTCCTCACGTGAGTGGCCATAGTGCTGGAGAATACAAGTGTCAACTGCAGGGGATGCTAGCATCGCCTGGCTAGCTCTTCTAAAGCTCCTCTGGTCTCAGACAAGCCGCAGTCCTCTGGTCTTCCATTTCCGAGCACCAGAGCTGATCACATGCTGATCACACGGAGAGCTGCCTGGTTGGGACTGAGATTGAGCCTGAAGTAGATGATCTCCTTGACCTTATCAGCAACCCAGCTGCAGAAGGAGGATGCCATTGCTTTAGCTTCTGTTAGGTTATTTTTAGGTAGGTGTGAGATACTGTTTTCCTAAGGTGGGTAGTGAGTATGACGGAGATTGCAACCTGAGATGGAAATCCCATCGTATACTTCCTAGCTTTTGTACCAATTATATTTACCTTGACATCTTGGTTTTTCTCACTGTAAAAATGGGCATGATTTTAGGGTGGTTTGGCAGATTAAATGAGCTACGTTGTGCCAAGAGCTTAGAATGTTACTGCTTGTGAAGCCTTTCATGAATGTTAAATATCACCTTAGACTGCCCATCCYGAACTCTATGGACCTTGGATGACGGGCATGGGGATGTGCAGAGTGACTGACTGCTGAATGTCCTGGGGGTGGGCCTGGCAGGTGCACYATGAGCTGAGCCACAGGCTGTGGAGTCCACTGCTGTCTGCTTTGGTATATGCAGAACAGTTGATTAAAATGTCTTGCCAACTTTGTTCTGGAAGCTGCTGAGAGAGAAATTGTTAGTCATTTTACACAACCCTGTGAAGTGTCATCTGGAGTTATGCGGGGCTGTGTGTGTGCACGTGTGCGTGCAGTACCCAGAGATGTCAGAGAAAGCCTCTTAGAGTTTAGCTGAATCTCTAAAAATGTTTAGTTAAAATGTTTTCAGCTTTGTTGAGATAGAGTCCGAATGCTAGACCTTTCATCTATTTGGAGTATAATTCCGTGGTTTCAGTCTATTCACAGCATCACCACAGTTGATTCTAGAACCTTCGTCACTCCAGAGTCCCTGGGCCATCAACAGTCAGTGTCCCCAGCCCCAGCCAGAAGCAACCATGAGTTCCCGTCTTCTGTCTAGATGGCCCCTTCTGCCTCTTTCCTGAGGCTCTTAGGAGCTGTGCTGCTGTGGACATCTGCTACAAGTCTTGGCATGACCACATTTTCATTGTTTTGTCTTGTTATTTCTGTGTTCCTCCTTTGCTTTCTTTTGGTTTAAATAGTACATTGTTTTTCTATACCACTGAAATGTATTTTTTTCCCTGTAGGCAAACAAGGCACGCAGGCAGTGGTGGAGTGGGAAGGGGAATAGCAGAGTGACAGGTTAGTGAGGATGTGGAGGGTGCAGGTAGCCCCGAGGAGCGTGGTGTCTGACGGGGCCTGGGAGACACTGAGAGAATAGGAGTGTTTCCATCAAAATGAGCGCTTTGTAGGAAGTCCCCCAGACACAGGCAGGGAGTGGAAGTCACAGTGTAATCCTTGGGCAGGAGACACATTGCCAATATTTGCGGAGAACTATCGATATATAAAAGGCATGTAATTTAATACAGACAAGACAAGGACTGGTTCTGAGTTCAATGGATTCTTTTTTTTTTTTTTTCTTCTTCTGGTCTTCCC